TCATGGATTTTTCTGGCGCCAACATTCCTTCAGTCGTTTTTTGGGTCAGTGTTACTGTGGGGGTAGATGGTGTTACTGTTGATGCCATTTTTCTTCATTTTTGTAATAGCGGTAGTTGTACTAATCATATCTTTGATAATTCTTCATTGCTCCTTCAGTATCCTAAATAAATTTTCCCAGATTATATTGCCAACTACCATCAACCTTATCCGTATTTTACAATTTAATTTTCTCAGTTATCTAATATTTTATTTTAGACTACTGTTTGTCTGCTTAATCTAATTTCCTAATACCATTAGATTTAGGGAATTATCATCAATTAATAATTATGTATTCAAACTTCCAAACCCACCTATTACTCTAGATATTCCCTTCACCTTGTATTCATACAATACCTAGTCTTAATATGTTCAATAACTCATCAGTTCTTAAATCGTCCAAGAGATAAAGGAAAAAAGAGAAAAAAGAAAGGAAAAAAACACTTAGCTGTACTTAGCAATAATATAACCCCAGTCACTTCCTTAATTAATTACTGTATTTCAACTAACATTACCCTAGATATATAATAAAAGTTCAAAATTCAAATTAATACTTTTTATTTTCCAGTAATTTCATTCTTAATTCAATGTTATTGTCTATAAACATTTATGTTTTATGGTTTCGTAGCTTTTAATGTTGTAAGCTTCCCAGAGATGTCTCAAAGCAAGATGGGCAGCATATAATAAAATAAAATGTAAAATAAAAAATATAATATAATAAAAATAAATTAATAAATGGAAACTAATTGTGTTCAATTATATTAATTTACTTATAATTAATAATATTTCCCCAGTATTTACTAATTTAGCTTCTTTTCATATTGAAAACTGTAATTTGGCAGTGTGTTTTGAAAAATCACCATGGCTTTTGGAGGAGGAAATATGACTCTCCTGTCACAGGTTCTAAAACCTGCATTACATAGAAATTGGCTAAATGGATTGAGTCATTTTTTTCCCCTGGGACAAAAAAAGGGCACAGTACAGATAGTCCACCACTTACAACCATTTGAATTGAACTGAATTGAATTCTTGTCATTGTACGTATATACACAGTATACATACAACAAAATTCAAACACCCAGACACCAGATCCAACACACACACACACACGACAATCCCCAAACACCGCCCACCTGCCAAAATTCCCCGCCCCTAAAAACACAAATTTAATGACCAAAGTTACAATAGCTCTGAAAAAAGTGACTTATGATCAGTTGTCACATTTATGACAATTGCAGTTTCCCCACCATCATCTGATCAAATTTTGAGTGGCTTGGCAACCGGCATATATTTACAATGGTTGCACTATCCCAAGGTCCTGAAATTGTCACCTGCAACCTTCCTAGGGAGTTCTGACAAGCAAAGTCAATAGGGGAAGCCAGATCTACTTTATGACTGCATAATTCACTTAATAACTCTAGGGAATAACCATGTAAAATGGGACATGATTCACTTAACAACTGTCTTGTTTAGCAACAGAAATATTAGGTTCAATTGTGATTGTAGGTTGAGAATTACCTGTAAACACTATTGACTTGATGGAATTTAGTATTAAGCATTTAGTATATGTTTGGATTAGTGGAAAAGGAACCAGGTAGGAAACCAGGAGAGTGTGAGTTCTAGTTGGCTTAGTGACTTTGGGCCAGTTAGTCCAACCCACCTCACAGGACTGTTGTGTGGGGAAAATAAATTAAAATAAATTCAGTACAGGCAGTCCTCGACTTGACTGTAACTGGGTCCAGAATTAGTCATAAGTCATATCTGTCAAACAGAACACCTTATGGTATGTCCGATTTAACAATATTTTTTTGTGGCAGTTGTTAAGCAAATGCCATGGCTGTAGCAAACTTATTTTAACTAATGGGTGTTTTTTGCTGGGAACCAGAAAACACCAGTCACTTGATCATGGTCACATGATTGTGGGACACTGCAAATGGTTGTAAGTATGGATTGGTTGCCAAGTGTTCAAAATGTGATCACCTGACTGGGGAGGGAGCTGTCAGAACTTCAAACCCAGGTTGTAAGTAGTTCTGAGGAGGTCCATTGTAACTTTGAATGGTCACTAAATGAGTTGACATCAATTAAGGATTACCTGTATTCAAATCCTCACTAAAAAGTCTAATATGTCTGAGAAAATTGTTCATATATTCCTGCAACTAAAGAAAAAGTTATTCTGTCTGAAATTCTCAAGGGGACGCCTTTCAGAATTGACTGGGTCAATGTCAGTTGACTTCTAATCAGTGTCAGTGTTGTAAGTGTTCTAGAGAAAATAACATGCAGTAATATGTACATGGGATCTTTTCCAGCTTTGATTGAGCAAGCCAAAACAACCCTATTGTAAACATATAGAGAAGTAGCAGTTGTACTGAGGAAGACAATACAGCTCTCTTGTTTGAAAATAATCATCCTGTATATCAGGAAGATCAATTTTCCCTTTGTGTGTAAAATAACTAAATCTCGAAGCCACGATGATGCCTGATTTCCAGCAATCCTGTGGAGAGACTGCTTCTTTGATCATTCCAATTTGATTTCCAACCCAGGCATGGGAGAAACATTGTGTTAGTATGCCTCATAGAGGCATACTGGAAGCTAATCCAACTGACCTCCTGGGTTATTTTTATCTCCCTTTTTGGACTATTTTTATATTCTCCAGGACCACCAGATAATTATCAGAAAGCAGCCTGACTTCTGTCTGGGAAAAGGAACAACTGTTATCAGAATTTAGCTACAAAGATAAATGCAACTTTTAAACCATAGCAATCTTTGTTTTCAGGCTACATAGAAGCCTGAAGAGTCAAACTGCTTTAAAGTATAGGTGAGAACTGTGGAGTGTATACAAAGGTATATGCCCTTGTTACTGTTTTCCCATTATTTTCAGACCACACGGCCCTAGTAAAAATCAGAATGTCACAACCAGTCATTGTTAAACCTGCTCTCAGATAAGACATGAATTCTGCTGAGTACAAAGTGATGCCACAATTTCCAGTCCATGACTGGTTGTCAATCCTATTTATATCTATGCTGTATGTTTTTTTTTTTCAAATGGTTACAATAAACAGTTGTCCCATGCATTGGAAAGGCTCTCAGGATAGTAATACAAGGAAGACATTGCCTACTTTTGGAAGAGGAAGGAAAACACAACAAAAGGGGGGAAAGGATGGGGAGAGAAAAGGAAAACCAATTGGTCAGAAAATTGCTGGTAATCTGGGAGAGCATTTCTGCTGAAATTCTCAATTCTTACTGGTCAGAAAGACAGATGGACATCCCATCCCATAAATTCTACAAACACTAGTTGAAGATATTGGATGTATTTGGTTTAGTTACACATGAAGAATCTTATCTAAAATTATCCAGTATTTGTTCCTAGTTTCTAGGGTCTTTAAGTAACTGTTGCAAAGCAGCACCCATCTCCATGACCTATCCTTATTTCCAAGCGCTGGCTACATCCTATATGCCTGTCAACAGCTCCTTGACACCCGAGCATAGTGGTCTAACATCGCCCTTTCCTTCCTTCAGGTCTCTCCCTTGGGTTTTACCGGCAAGTCTTTAGCAACTTCAGGCAAAACTGGATCACAATTCATAGCGGACACAGTTGCAGTTTTGAACTTCTGCCTGACACGCAACGGTCAGGAGCCTACTTGAGAGAAGGGGTAACAATTTGGAACGAGCTCAGGTCGTTGTTCAACACCCTGGCCATAATTTCCAACTACGGCAAGGCGCTCAAGGTAAAACAAGAAGCCAGAGGGAAGAGGAATTTTATTGATCGCTGCTGTCATCTTCGTTCCTCCCGTTGGCTCCTTAGCATCGCTCTCGGAAGAGGAGGAGGAGGGGGAGAAGGTGGAAGGGGAAAAGAGGCAGCCCAAGTTCCGAGACGGCCCGGTCGGGCTCAAGCGCCTGCGCGCCCCTCTCCAGAGCCGAGCTGGGGGGCGCCGGGGGCCGGCCTGGGGCGGGTTCTGCGGGCGGGGACGGGCGAGGTGCGTAGGGCGCCACGTCGGCAAGCGCTGAAGAGGCAGCCGCCAAGGGGTCGGAGTCGGGTTTGAGTTTGCCTGCTCGAATCCTCCGCCGGGCTGAAGCGAACGGCACAGCCATCCCAGCGAGGTGAGTTTGGAAGGGGGCCTCCTCGTCTCCAGCCTCCTCTGCGCTTTGCGCAGAAAATGCGGGGTGGAGTTGCCCGGGGCATCTTCTCCACCCTTTTCCTTCCGGGGTGGAAGAAGAAGAATGGGGTTGGGGGGTTGGGGGGGGGGCTGTCGCCTGCCCCCTCCGCGGCTCGCCGAGGCCGGGGTCTCTCGCCTGCTGGGGCCGCGAAGGTGGGAACGGGGCGCAGGTAAAGAGCCGCTTTGGGCACAAGGGAGCCGAAACGCTGTCCGTGCAAAAAATTGGCTCGAGTGGAAGGAAGGTGCTTCCCGCTAGGTGCCATCCCGTAGCAAGGGGGGAACGTGAGAAGCATAGCGAGGACAAGGCGGCCGACCTTGGAGTTGTAGGGAAAAGGAAAGCCTCAAAAAGGGACTTGTGGTTCTTCCCTAATCTGGACCTGAGCAGCCTTGCGCTTGGGACCGCGCGGCAGAAGCTTTCATGGCGTTGTCGGTAGGTCTGAACTGTTTTAAACGTCCACCAGCCTTCCCTGCAGAGGCAGCTTCGGCAGCCTTGGCTGCTGCTTTGATTGGAAGGCGGGGAGAGAGAGAACGGGGGCGAGGCGGAAAAATAATGCCGCGTCTCTAGCGGTTTTCTCCCCGGGAAGAGAGCAAGGCACACTCAGCCCTGCTAAGTGCGGGTGCAAAGGGAGGTAAAAATAGATTACGCAGGAGAAAAGGGAGAAGTGTGGCCAATGTGTTCTGGCAGCGGATATTTAGATTTTTTTTGGGTTCAACGTGGAAGAGCCCGTGAGGAGGTGGGAAAAAGAAGCCAGGCTGCACGTCAACAGCAGTATGGCTCCGGGCCCTGCGCCTGCCCCCTCTGCCACGTCACTGCTGCGTGCCATCCATCAGCCCTTTGTGTTTGCTGGGCCCCCATTTGGAGCCCTTTGCAATGGGGAGGCTGTTTACGCTTCTGTTCCTGAGTGTGTTTTCAGGCTTGGTCCCGGTGGGGAAGATTATTATTATTATTCTCGGTGGAAAACAGGGTTGGGTATCACGCATGTCCGCACATTGTCAAATAGCTCATTGGAGGCTCTGAAAATTAATATTGCGCCTTCATTAGATAGTTTACTATATGCGTGTAAATATATTTCTGCTTTTATAGCGCCGGAATTGTAAGTTTATTTATTATGCAAGTCAACTTTGCTTCGATAGTGTGTGGTTTCAAAACTCTTCCAGGAAAATAAAATGCCTCATTAAAATGGATGTCTGACAAAAAAGATTGGGAATTTTCTTCCCTAAAAGTATTCCGGGGTCCCACGTTGACGGGCAACACCCACCCTGTATCATAATGTTAAATTAGCAGCATAAAAAGATGCAATAATTAAAATAAGGAATTCTCCAACCTCTTTGGAAACATCATTCCCTTGTGGGAATGATGAGGAATTTTAAAATGGTTCTTTGAATTAAATTTGGCAAATTTCTAGCTAGAAACAAAATGGCTTTCATTTTAATATTTTAATAATTGGCTTTTCTGATTTTACTCATAAATTGTTGTGATAAAATAGTGAAGTGAAGAAGTATGGGACTTCTTGGTATTGAAAAGTTTCATTGAACTTAAAACTGCTTTTCCAATCAAAGGGTCTTCATTGTATAACGCAGCTTTCTCTAACTTATGCCTAAAATGTCTTGGACTACAATTTCAGGAATTGCCAGCCAACAATCGCTGGTGATTATAAAGGTTGTAATTCAGAATCTCTGTCTAGCACCAAATTGGAAAGTACAATGATAGCAGTAATGCTTTAATTGTCCCCAAATATCAGTTGCTTTGACTACATAGCATAACTCTTTATATATAACTCTTTTCTAGGTGCAAGAAATGAAATGACTATTCATTTAAAGCAATTAAAGATCATTATCTAGGTTTTTTTTTTGCTTAAAATATCATATTTTCATTAATCCAGAGTCTTGATTCTTAAGATAGTTCAATGGTGAGGGGCCCTTGGTGTTCTCTGAGCTTGCTTTTTAACAAGCTCATAGAGCAAGAAGGACCCCACATTTCAACAGAGCTACAAATATTCTCCTGTATCAGTGGTTCATCAAAATGGTTCAATGATTGCTGCAAATATTTTTCTGGAAGATATGCTCACCTTTCACATAATTTGAGTTGCATATATTAGTGTGTGCTATATTTGGATGTATTGTACAGTAACATTGTGATAAATCTTTTTATTAAAAAGTTTTAAATATATAATTCTCTTTGATTTTATATAGAAAATTACATTGGGACATTTGAATACAGTAACATTTGGTAAGTATGGATACTAATAAAGTGCGTTTATTATTTGTGTCTATTGAGAAAGCCTAAATGTTACTGTTGGAGGACAGGGCAGGAAAAAAATGTTTTCAGAAATATCTTGGGGAGAATAACAGCTTCCTCTCTACCTCATCCAGTTTAAGAATCAAACTACTATGAGCATTCAAATGTATGTTACATTCATACTGGATATTTTAAGGACAGGTAGTCCTTGATTTACAACAGTGACCGTTCAAAGTTACAAAGGCACTGAAAAAATGACTTACGACTATTTTTTACATTTATGACCGTTGCAGCATTCCCATAGTCATGTAGAAAGTCTGTTTAATTATAATTAACATTCTTCAACTATGAACTCACATTTGCCTCAATTCCTTCCCTCATCCATAAGAAATAACACAAAAATCTTGTAGCATAAATAAGAAACAACAATAAGAACTCTTCAGATTGCTCAAGTCCTTGGGACTAAGATAGCTAATAAATTAATATAACATATAAAACCCCCAAATATGATTTTGTTTCATTTCTCGCTTAGCAACCTAAATTTTGGGTTTAATTGTGGTTGTAAGCTGAGGACTACCTGTATTTTAGTTGGCATAGTTAAGAGTAATCTGTATAGAGGAGATCCGTATTTCAATTGTGGAGTCAGATTATTTGAAACTTTTTTTGCTGCAAAAAAGAATATTCAAAGAATACAATGAAAAGCAGTTAAAAGATACAATGCAAATACTGTCTTTCCCCCAAAATAAGACCCTGTCTTATTTTTTGCCACCAAAAAAAGGCACCAGGTCTTATTTTTGGGGAATGCCATTCACTGACTAACCTCACTTGCGTGCGTTGCCCCAACCTCCTTTTTGCTGTCAGAGGCCTTCAGCAACTTCTTCTGTGGCTGGCAAGACTTTCCTGAAGGCCTCTGCAGCTGATAACAGAGCTCCAGATCGATCCAGAACTTTGTTATCAGCTATAGAGGCCTTCAGGAAAGCCTTGCCAGCCTTGCTGGATACAGAAGAGATGGGCCAGCAAGGCAGGTATCAGGGTGTGCGAGGCCTGCTTACAACTGTCCAAAGGTAACCCCCCTCCCAATGCTCACCCTAGCTTAATTTTTACCCATGCACTCTGGAGTGGGTGGAATCTTAATTAGGGCTTATTTGGGGGAGGAGGGCTTATATTGGATGCGTAAAAATCAAGCTAGACTTACTTTTAGGGTAAGTTGTATTTTCCAGGAAACTATTTACAAAAAAAACCAAGATAAAACTTGAATCAAATATTTTATTGTTGCATAGTGTAATACTCATCCTACCTACGAATATGAAGAATTGTTTTGCAAAAATTTGGATAGGAAACATCTCCTAGAAATAAGAAATGAAACAAAATCATATTTGGGGGTTTTATATGTTATATTAATTTATTAGCTATCTAAGTCCCAAGGACTTGAGCAATCTGAAGAGTTCTTATTGTTGTTTCTTATTTATGCTACAAGATTTTTGTGTTATTTCTTATGGATGAGGGAAGGAATTGAGGCAAATGTGAGTTCATAGTTGAAGAATGTTAATTATAATTAAACAGACTTTCTACAGATAAGTGAAATCTTTACAGGATATAAAGATGATTGTTATGTTTGTTAAAATGATCAATGAAAATAAAGGATCATCTCTGCATGATTGAAAGATGGCAGACTTTCCTGACATAGTCATAAATTCATTTGTTACATACTAGGACATATAAATGGATTGCACATAACTTTCTATGTGTTATGTAGTCATTATAGTATGTAAAAACAATGAGAAGGAGAGAAAGGCACATATTTAATTGTCAAGTTCAATATTCTCCCCTGTAGCTACTAGAGCTCAGTCATGCTTTGGATTTGATTTGGGGGAAGATTTTAGGCCTTATGAGAGCTTGAACACAGCCCTGGTCTATGACTCATTAAAGCAACTGCGCTTTTTTCCAGAATCATACATCCTAGAAAAAGACAAGGCCACTTTAATGAGTCACAAATGTTGTATATGTTTCAAAACACCTTTTTCAAATCATTTTGAAGTCCTATTTTCTAATTTACCCTTCCCAGTTAGACATTCTACAGCTGAGTTTGGATTGCAGGCTGCATAGCAATAATGGGTATACATTAAAAGTGTTGCAGAGCTGCCTGTTTTTATAGTTATATCAAAATGTCCCAGAGGGGAAGAAGCCTGTTCATTAAAGCATGTAGGCTAAAAATAGTAACTGAACAATTGTGTCGCTAAAGGAACGCATTACCAGATATCACATTGTCTAAGCTGTAGTTGTTGAATTGGTTCAGCAGTTTTTCTAGAAGGTATATCTTGTTAGATATATTTTTTTTGTTGACTTAGGTTAATCTTTCAGGAGTGGTTGGGTAATTTAAAAGTACTTTACTGTGGTAATGTTATTTAATTAAAAGAAAACAAGAGGGAACTTGTCATTCTGAAAATATATAACAAGATATTATACAGGTGTATAAGTCACATGAAATATAATTTTGATTTATGTTGTATAAATCTGTAGAAATTATTTTGAAAATATTCTAATGACACTTGGCTACTTATTAGATTTTAGAGTTCAATATTTAATTGACTTCGTTTCAAAAAACCAAAAGCGACTTAAAAACACTCTGTTGTTCTGTTCTTGCGACCTTTTTACAGAAGGAAGAAATGTATATAAGTCCGTAAAAGACTTTCATAGTCATAATTTAATTCTTTAGAGAGTATGTTAAAAGAAAAACCCATGTTGAGACAGCAATGGGAAGCACATAAAACAATTCACCTGTTATAGCATCAGATAAATCATGTGACCTTTTAAAATAGTTCAAAAAGCAATTTGATTCTCATTTAAGGACAGTGGAAACTATTGTTATGTCTTGTTAACCTGTAGATAAGTATACAGTTATTCATATTGAATTATATTTTCCATGTTGAGAGTTATGTTAATATGATGTCACTTGGCGAAATTCCATATGATCTTGATAATCCTGAATAAGGTTCATGAAAGATTACTCCAGGGTAGTATTTCTCCCCTCAGCCTTATTGAATTGCCTCTGTAATCAGATGTTACTTAACAGTATAGCTTGTGCAATGCTTTCATGTGGCAATCTGATTTGTATAAGGAAAAGCCATTTCAGATTGCTGACATCTAACTTGAATGAAATAGAAATGAAATTTCCTAAGTTGAATCATTGAGTCATCTTTAGATGCAAATCCTTTGTTATTTTAAAATATTATATGGTTATTATAATAACTTTAATGATACATTATTCACTGAATGTATTTTTACCTTGATGCTGAACTTATGCTGCTTTTAAATTTTACACAAATATGTCAAAAGTCCTAATTCCAGTTCCAACATTACTTCAGTATTCTTAATGTAATGTGTCATGTGCACATTACAATTTATCGTAGTGATAGATTAATACTTGACATAACCGCAGTCTTAACTTTTCCATATTCTACTCACTTGATATTCAAGATAATATAGACTCAACTATTCTCTAATTATTAAAATAACACAATGTTTTAAAAATGAGGCTTAGCCTATCTATTTTTCTTGTTTAAAAGAAGAAATCCATTCTAAATTTATTATAAATTTGTTAAATTTTTATATAAGGGTTTACTGTAAAAGAATTTAATCTAAGCAGCTATATTTATGGCTTGATTTATAGGTTTTTGCTATTACAGCACAGTCAAACATACAGAATTATTATTTCCTTAGCTCTAGTAAGCAGGCTTTAAGAAATTCTTCAATTGACAACCTGTTTGAAATCCTGACTCTGAATTAGATAAAAAAAAAAAATTCTTTTCCACATTAAAGCTTATATCCTAGGACCTGAAGGAAACATTGGACATGGCATATTACTATATAGCATGAGTAGTATAGCCATGGTGAATCTTTTGGGCTTGGTGTTCCAAAAATTCATAAAATGCATAACATGGCTCTGCTGGCATATCATATATAGACATACTAAACAAAAGAGAAACGATTCTCTCTCTTTTTCTTCATTGGTCACCTTGCGCCATTCCCCAGGAACTGCCATGTGCTGCTAACCTTCAGGCAGTGTCCTCTTTCTGCTAACAGGCCCCTGCATCCTGCCCAAGGCTTCTACCCAAGGTCTTCATTTTTGAAGTGGCTTCGGCTTCAGAGAATGCTGTTCTGCAGCCTCTGTGAACTGTGCAAAAGCAGACCCTTTTCTTACAGAATTTTTGGACACTCCAGAGGCCGCTCAAGAGCATACCCCATTGTTATCTAGTCTTAGAAAATCACATAATAGCAAGATGTGCTTTTGAGAACAATTGTTGGATGTTGGTAAATGTAGGTTTTTAAACACTTGGTGTGTCACCCAAAACACTGTGGCATGTCAGCTATGGGGTGTCATACGTTCACCATCAATGCTCTAGAACAGGGGTGTGAAACTCACATCGTCGCAGCAGCATCACGTGACGTATCAGGACTTCCCCCCTTCTCTAAACCAGGTGTGGGCGTGGCCAGCGTGTGACACATCCGGCCCACAGGCTGGGAGTTTGACAGCCCTACTCTAGAATATTAGTTCTTAATACCCATAACATATGTGATAGTGGAAAATATATGTAGCTCGGGTATAGGATGAGTATGGAAGTTCGTTCTCCAAGCTTGTGGGTTGGTTTCCAAACATATCTTTACTAGATGTTACCTACCCTGGTAACGAAACATACAGAAACCAACCCACAAGCTCAGACAATAAACCTCCACCCTCACCCATAAAGTATTGTATTGGTGATTGGACTGCTATGAAAAACATGTCCCATCGTATGCTTTCATTGACTTGCTAGTGAGTAAGTTTTCAAAAGAACATTAAAAAGAGCTGGACTAACCCAGAAACTATACATTTCCTTATTTTTAGGCAATAATGAACCAGACAGAGAAGGATGAGCAAGATGTGCCTCCATATCTTAACAGTGAGCCCCCAGAAGGTATATTTTATAATAACAATGCTGTTTGCTCAAAGATGTTGCAGTAAATTGTTATTTTCAAATTGTTGTTCTATTCTCTATAAGCAGATTTTAATTTCATGATCAAAGCTGACTTTGTAAATTACAAACAAAATGGCTTTTTTCTTTTACTTTTAAAGATGTGTTTGCTGTGTTTTGCTTGCTGAAGGATAATTTGGTCAGCCAATAGCTACTGTATTTTTCGCACTATAAGACACACTTAGTGGGTGGAAGTGGGTGGAAATGTCTGTGCGTCTTATAGAGCAAATGTTGCCGAAGCCTCGCCTACCCACCGGCTCCCACCCATCAGCCTCTTCCTCCAAACAGCAAACAGCCTGGTCAGCTTCAGCACAGTCTGATTTAGCATGAGCAGCTGATTGGCGGTTTCTGTGCGTCCTGTTTTCGGCCTCTGCACATCCCGTTTTTGGCCTGTTCCAGGTGGCAGTGGCAGCAGCAATCCCCGCCGCCTGCAATGGGCTGAAAATAGGACACACGGAGGCCCAAAATGGAGCATGATATGCAGCGGCAGCGATGGGTGACTGCGATCCCTGCAGCCTGGAAAAGCTGGTTGGCGGTATTCCAGGAGGCTGATCCAACCGCCAATCAGCTGCTCGTGCTAAATCAGGCTGTGCTGAAGTTGACCAGGCTGTTTGCTACAAGGAGGCAAATTGCTGGAAGGCAGAGCCAGATTTTTTCCCCCTTATTTTCCTCCCCAAAAGCTAGGTGCATCTTATAGTCTGGAGCGTCTTATAGTGCAAAAAATATGGTACATCATGACAGCACACTAAAATTACTAGTCCGCTTTTCTCGTGATTAAATATCCAAACTAATAATAGTTAAAATAACCCAAGGTTATGCAGAATCTGTTATATTATGTTGCTCTCCTAATATATTGTCTTTTTAAAATAGCTTATGACATGTGATATTGCTGCTGAAAGGGAGCATTACTTTGAAAACCTATGCAGCTTGGTTTCGAACCAAATGACTTGTTAATTTATAATTGCAAGTAGATGATTTACTTGCACAAATGAAACCTGTCCTATTCAGACTTCCAAGGCAGTCTTGCTTTTTTCAGACTCTGTTGTCATTGACTTTCCGTTCACATGGAATCTAATAGTATACCTGCTTTCCACTCTCAGAGAATGGTTTTGTTATTAAGAGAGGTTAACACATAAAGTGGACATGATTCTCAAAATATGTTTTCTTTCTTTCATTTTGGATACATAGACTGTATGTCTGTGTATGTGTGTGTTGTGTATATGTATACGCACACATACACATACATATATGCATGTTTCTAGCTATGCTGATTATGGTGGACAATGTAGTTTAACAATATCTTCACTTTTTTTAAAGGATTTTTCAGTGGAAAGTATTCAGTGGATGTGATTATTGTGAAAAAGCTATCTCTTGTTTGTTTAAATTGCATGATAATATATTTCATAAAGGTTCAGGAATTCCGATTTCTGAGTTAGATTTACCTCTAACTTTTGAAATAAGTTGAACTATAAGTTCAATTATGAAACAGGAGTGATAAACAAAGTGGGTTTTTTCTGCTATCTTGGAAAGGTGCTTGGTTCTACTAGTGCTAGAAAGCATAATATTGTGACTTTTTTAACCCAGTAAGATGTAGTAAAAGTTTATAATGCTGAGTTCATCTTCTAGGAATAAATTTTAATGTTATGTCAGGTATCTAAATGGTCCCTGAGTGGAATTAACAAATTATAATGTAATTTCCTGATGTATGAATATATTCATTGTGCCTTATTTATATTTTAGATTTATATTTTGCCATTTTATTGATCAACATACCATAATTAAAATAATCCATAGTTTAACATATTTCAACTCAGCAAATGGTAACCAGTTCCTGTATTGGTACCTCTAGAGAGCCCTGATTCTGCTCCAAAAACTATTTTCTATCCTGTAATTAGTACACAAAAATGCTGAATCCCTTAATTCAGGGGTGTCAAACACAAGGCCTGTAGGCCAGATGTGGCCTATGATGTGGTCAGACCTGGCACGCAGGGCCGTCCTTGAAAATGTAAGGGGCTGGCCCACGTGGGTTTGGCCCAGTCTGCAGAGGAAATATCGGGCCAGCATGACTTCGGCCTGGTCTACCCAGTGCGAAGAGGAAACATGCCAACAGTTTGGGGAGTGGCGTCATGCTGGTCACGCTCACTCAGTTGGCCACACCCATCCAGTCAGCCATGCCTGCTTGGCCCCCCGAGGTCAACTACAGCCCTGATGCGGCCCTCCATGAAATTGAGTTTGATACCCCTGCCTTAATTAATAATGATAAATAAAGAACCAAAACTCACTCAGAACTTTCTTTTGCATTGTTAGAAAATATTGATGAGAGTCTTTGCTATTCACCCCCACCCTGCAAAATGCTCTTCTGCTGGTGATATGTCATAAGAAGGAGTTGTTGTAGAGCAAAATTTCACTGGGACTTTCATTTCCACCACATTTAAACTAATTCTGAATAACTGACACTGTTTCTCTTCTTTAGATTCAGTAAAAGATCATCCGCAACAACAGCCTGGCATGCTTACCCGGGTGACTGGCGGCCTTTTCAGCATAACCAAGGGAGCTGTCGGTGCCACAATTGGTGGTGTAGCATGGATAGGAGGAAAAAGCTTTGAAGTGACCAAAACAGCAGTAACAGCTGTGCCTTCCATGGGAGTAGGATTAGTTAAAGGAAGTGTTTCAGTTGTGACAGGAAGTGTTACAGCTGTAGGATCTGCTATCTCAAGCAAAGTGCCTTTATCTGGGAAGAAAAAGGATAAATCTGATTAAAGAAATTCAGTTTTGTTGAGGACCATATGTGGCTATGGGACCTACACGATTTGGACTACTGTAAGGTCACCATTCTGGAGGAATATCTAAAGAACTGAAAGAATTACTTTCTCCTGCAAGGGACATTAACAGCCTGGTATCACAGAAACTTTAGATTTCTTCAGGAACTTGTCTGGTGAAATATTACACTTGATTTTTTTTAAAAAGGAATCAAGTACATGGATCTGAAGGAATGGCTCACGATTGAACATTAATTCACTTTTTGAAATCTTGAATTAAAAATGTGAAAATAGAAGTGGAGGGAATGACTTGGTAAAAAGTTAAGCACTTCACAGTTCTGATGAAAATAGCTTCCTTTAAAATAATTTCAGCATTAAAAGTGCTTAAATATTAGCCTGATTACGCCCTTAATTGGTTGCCTCTGCCATACAGATATATTGATGTTCTAGCTTCAAACCTATGGTGTCTATATTTTTTGGAAAACAGTCCTTGAACTCCTTAGAGTCCTTGCGTATCCTTGCTTTTTCAAACTATTTTTATAAACACTAAATTCTTTAGAAGTCAACTGTCACAAGGATGTGTTTGTGTGCGCACACGCATGCATGTGTGTATAAAACATTGAGTCAAATCATTCATGCCTTATGGTGAAAAACAATCTATTTTTTACTTAGAGAATCTTTTAAAGTTTTTGTAATGTCTGTCATTTCAAAGCAGTCTGTAGAAGGAGTTTTACAATTTTTTTATCTGTTGATACTGACAAAGAAAGACTGCTAAATCTCAGGTGTAGCGTACGGATGTTCGCACCTGCAAATTGAAAAGCCCTTTATGTTGTTAGGTTACTTTAACTGAAAATTAATTCCAAGTTTACATTAAGACAACATTGAGTAACTTTCAGCTGTAAAATAAAAACACTTCTGTGGTTTCTAGCCTCAAGGTACAAATGTGTACAATCTTATTTCCTGAGTACATAATGCAAACACAGTAACTACTGTTGCTGCGCATAATCTGTTTACCCGAGTATCATCCATTATTGCTAGAGATTTTGTAGAGGTTGATGAATTGTGCTTGATATTTTCAATGATAATTAACATAAAATACTTTCTACAAATAATACCTCAGCAGGTAGGTTTGCTGAATGGCACCCATGACCAATATGATAGAAACAAGTGATTTGCAGAGAAATGTATTTCATGCATACCTTTTCAAAGTTTTCTGAGCAAGACATAGGTATGTCCAGGGCAGTGGTGGGATTCAATTTTTTTACTACCGGTTCTGTGGGCATGGCTTGGTGGGCGTGGCAGAGGAAGGATGTTGTAAAATCTCCAGTCAGAGGTGGGATTGCCAGTTCTCTGAACTACTCAAAATTTCCGCTACCGGTTCTCCAGAACTGGTCATAACCTGCTGAATACCTCTGGTCCAGGGGTGGGCTTCAAAAATTTTACCAAAGGGTTCTCTGCCTGGTTGCTGGGTGGGCATGGCCTACTCAGCCTCCTGCACCACAGTGTGTATGTGCGGGGGGTGTTTTTGCTCTCCCTGAGCTCCAGAGGCTTTCATTGAGCCTCTGCCCATTTCTGGCCTTCCCAAACTTCCAGGAGGTCCGTTTTTCGCCCTCCCCAAGCTTCCGCGTGCATCCTGCATACAAAACAGGCTGCGTGGGGGCTCCTGGGAGGAGAGGGGAGGAGTGGGTGGGGCCAGCCAGTAGTGGGATTTGGGGGTTCTCCAAACTGCATAGAATCTTAGCTAGGGGCTCTCCCAAATCCCTACAAACCCCCAGCAGTCCACTCCTGGGTATGTCTTCCTGTCTGTCTTGTTCCTAATCCATTAAATCAGGATAGGTACTGGTAGTCCTTTGTGCTCAGTGGGCTATATTGTAGATTTAGTGGATTTATATCTTTAATTTGAAGCTCTTTAGCATGTTGAATTTGTAGCATTTTGGTAGTCCTTAAAAAAGACTGAAGTTCACATGACTATTCTGTATGCAATGTTTCTTAAAATATGTGTTAAAAACACACAAACCTGGTTGGAATAGTTGTGATTATAAACACAAGATTAAAACAGATGGTGTCTTGTAAAAGTAATGACCAAAAGCTCCCTTGTCTAAAATTACATATTCATAAATTAATCTGGTATAATTTATTGAACTGTTACATCACTAGTTGAAAAGAATTATTAAAAATGTGCTGTTGGTATCTGACCTGAATTTGCTAGCTTGATGACAGCAAGCAACTTCATATGCTCACCAGAACATAAAGAATATTTGTATGGCCCAAAGGCATCATTAAAGCTTTAACTAATAAGAAACTTCATTACACAACAGGTTTTATCAATGATACTATATAAATTAGGAGTTTGTATATAGTATTTAATTAGGTGACTGGATTAACAATGTGCCTAGATTGGAGAGTTTATCAGACAATCTTCATATTGGATACTGTGTCTAGAATTTAGATACTTTGTCATTTTACTACTCAACCAATTCCCTAATAAATGTGTATCTTAAAACATATATAAAAAGAATAAAATGTGTATGCGTTATTTTTAGAAATATGTACTAAAGGTTCCAGTGTTCCAAACACAGAATGGTTTGCATATGGAATTTATATTTATAGAAGGATTAGCCACAAGCATAAAAATTACAAACATATTGATGTACTTTTAAGAACTGACATTTGGTATTTCTGTGACGTTGATATTTAATGGTAAATGAGATCTTAAGGTAAGAGTGTCTGGGTTCATATGCTAAGCAATAGAGAGATCTAGTATCAGTAAGCTAGCAATGCCAATATGCCCCAGCAGGCATTTCTCTTAGCATCTATCAGATTCCTTATCCCTCCTGTTCATTTCAAACGTATTTGGAAAACTATTTTTCATTGAAGCAAATCTCATTGTGCTTTCTAATAAAGGGGTGCCTTGTAACATTCCCATGCCAACTACTTTGTGAGATGCTTTCCAGATACACCCACTGATCCTATAAAGTGTCTTTTTACTGATGAACAGAGCAACATAATGAAATATCACCCTTTTTTTTGTATTGATTCTTGATCTCATATCCTTCAGCAATAAGCTGAAGAAATTATTTGGGGACAATTGAGAAGAATCTATGAAAAAAAGAATACTAAAATCCAGGGCCTCACACCATTTCTATACATGGGTTTCTTTTTAAATTTTCATGCAGTTCTAAATATTAAAAGTTATCATACTTGATATTTAGGAAGAAAATAGTATAGTTAAATAGACAGTATGTGCTACATGCAAATTCAAAGCCAGGCTTCTTGTGAGATGTGCCATTCTGTTCCTTGTGTCTTCAGTCCTAAAATCATTGAATGCATATGTACCAGGTTAATTATTCCAAACAATTTAAAGTGCCGCAGAGTATATTGGTAAAATAAATCATGCATATATTCAAGATCAGTAAAAGAAAAAGTTTATGTGGTTACTTAGACTTGACACTGACTTGACGGTATAATAGTCAAGAAAATATTTCTAATTAGCAAGGATTACATATCATTCAATTATGCATAATCTAACCGACTAATTTATTAAATAAACTGAATATATTGAATATATTCCCAATATGTGTAAATTTTATTTTAAATATTGCATAAAGCAAGGATATTATTATAATTTAAACCAATGCTAGGTGCATCTTGTCTATCACGGCAGAAGTTTAAAAGTTCATTCCCTTTCCTAAATAATGTATATATTCTGTTGACAATCCCATAATACTCTTATACAAATTATATAATTTACAAAAACACCTCTATATGATTTTAAAAAGCCTACATTTACACAAGATATGCAGAAAATAGAAAAATATTTATTTTATGAAAGATGCAAATAAAGGTATTTCATGCATCATGAAACTATAGAATCCTATCTCACATGGCTTACATTTGTTTTGAAGAGAAATCGAATCCATGGAATATAAGACTTTGTAGTTTCTAGGCATAATTGCTATGTATTACTTCTATATCAGAAAAATGCCTTTTAATATTAGTTCCTAGATAACATGAGCAGCAGATGCTATTGGACTGGTGTCTAGCTTGTAGGTTTCACATACAAATATGCTTGGCTACTATAGGAAAAACATATTGGATCAGACAGCCTTTCTGTTTGATCCAATGAATTCCATGACAACTGCATATTTAGAAACACTGATTCAGAAAAAAAAAATTCAATTTCTAAGTCGCATTTACATCCAATTTATTTGAATTGTGAAAGACAAACCGGTCCTTACTTTTTATTTAGCAGGTTCTGGAAACTAATCTTCAATATTCAAAGGAGCCACTGGATTATATATAGGTCTCTCACTTTTTGCTTGTATCTTTCCATATGTAGTTTCAAAATCTTTTTTTGTTCCAATGAGATATTTTAAAGTTCCATTCTTCAGACTGTATCCTAGGGCATTTAATTTTTTAATTCGATACTGAATTATCTCTGTTGATAATTCTAAAACAGCAGGAGACTCTTTAATTTGTTCTATAGAAATTCCCTCCTTCAAGAATTCATCTAGTCTTTTCTTCAGAACTGAAGCTGAATAATAGAGAAGGGCAGGACACTGTAATATTAGCTCTTTTAATTCTTGATCACTGCAATTGAAGATGGTCTTTGAAAACAAGAGGCTACTCTGCATATTGCTAGGATTAAGTTGAAAAATAAATCCTTTGAGCTTGGACAACAGGCATAAAACTTCGGAATCAGTGAACTGATTGTTCTGAAGAAACTCCAAGTTTTCTTGGACAGTAGTAGAAGTATTTAATAAAATAAATGGATTTTGACTCAATAATTTCAGTAGCCAGTTTTTCAAATTTTCCTGTGAACCACCTAATCTTAAATAGTTTTTTTGCAGAATTTCTATCACATGCTTATTCTTTTCAACAGGGTTGTAAAAAATATTTGATGCACTTGTTAAAAACCGGCGGATGATAGCAGTCTTCAGCCCCAGTGCTTTGAAGAATCTAATGTTGGCCTTCTGATTTTCATAATGTTCAACATTAAAAAAAGCATCTGGAAATCGTTTTATTAACTCCACTAACTGCTTTTCATTTTGACAGACAGATAACCACAGATCTCTTTGACAAGTGATATTGGTAGGACTACAAAGAATGGCTTCCGGATAGCATTCAAACATATGTGCTAATGAAGGTCCATCAACTCCAATTGTTTGCAAAATATCAGCTATTTCTTTGATATACGACACCTCTTTTGACAGAACCCATGGCTTTAGCCTACGGATTTTCTTTATATCCACTGATAATTTGGACAGATTTTCTACAGTGAATTTATTCTCCTCTCCTAAAGAAGTATCCATGGCATATTTCAAATGCTGTAAAAGGTGTCCATTCTTTCTTTGATACCAGAAGACTGATGGAGCTGCCAATATTAGGCAGGGCTGAGATTTCGTCAAAAAATGCATATAGAAATTTGGGACAATATAAGCCATTTTATTCTATGGTCAAGCATCACATCAGGAAAGGCCTGTAAGAACCAAAGCACAAGATATTAATGCTATATCAAATTCAAACTTGGAGGGGGGAAGCAAGAAAAACAATTCTCAATAATCTTAATAATCCCAGATACATGACTAGAGTATACAACTATTCTTTTTTCTCAATTGATCTTCAAAAATAGTAATATAATGAGGTAGCAGGCAGGATTTAACTGGAAGACTGTATATTATTAAAATCTCATCATGACCTTTAATTGGGCAGAAGGATGTATCAGAGAGCAACCATTTTTGAACCAAGGCACCTCAAATTGGGCTAACTTACAGAATCTGTTTAAAATTCAGGACCAATGATTCATGAGGGAATAAAAATGGTAAATTACGGCTGCTTCATTGTTACTGACTGCCGCTGCACTACTATTACTATGGTTACATGATCTTCGTTTTGAACATTCCATGAATTTCCCAGCCAATCTGGCAATTCCTCACTCTGTCCTCCCCTAGCAGCAGCCACATAATTGCTGGCTGGGGAGATTTCCAATCTTCCCTATCAAATCCTCACAAGGAAACTCAATGAGGAAGCTGACAGGAAGTCAGAAGTCACTTCTGCCACGACTGCTTTTTTGCCCATCCTTGGTCATTCTGTTTCTCTGCTTAAGGAAGTATCTCTAAAATGATGGTCCAGTGGGGCATGGGTTATCTAGTGTCATCTAAATCCTTTCTCTTCAAATAAAGTGATTGTAACAGTTGATTGATGAATTCTTCCCTCATTGCCTCTTAAAATATTTTTGCCTATTTAATAAAAATCCTGAACTCCCCATTCCAATTCATATTAAATTATGTAAAAACTCTCTTTGGATTGCAATGATATGCAGATGGTAACTAAATGTTAAGTAGCAGCAAAGGTCAAAGGAGACATATTTCTTTTGTTGTAATGTAGGTAGCAACAGATTTAAACAAAATAACACCCCTGTACTCTTATTTCCTGCCTTATTTTCTCTTTGATCACACAACTCTTCTGGCTCCTGCATGCCAGGTAAACAGAGAAAAGAATATGAAAACAAGTAGAAGAGTAGAAGTAACCATTACCATAGGAATAATGGAAAATATCTTTTCTGATTGTATGTCTAGCAAGTTTCTTTTCTTTCTTTGTTTGCCAATATTTTAAAGGCATTTTCAGACTTTTCAAACCTTTGTTTGACATAGTGGCATTATGCAATCTTTAAGTGGGAAGACTTACATTTTTAAAAAGTAAAACTTTCCTCGAATCAGACTCATTTACTGATGTCTATGTGGGCAGGCTAATATGAATTTCTTAATACTGTAATAGTAACAGATTTTTTTTAAAAAAAGAATCTACATTTCTGGAGGTTCCTGGGAGTTTCCTGTTCAGATACCAACTAATGAAGCCACCCATTCCACTGTGTCATTGACAGTATTGAATAGCAATCCCTAACAAGATACCGCAACAGGTTGAGATTTCCTCCTTCCCATTTTTATTAATTTAAAGCATTTCAACTTTGCCCATCAAAACGTTGATTTCAGTTTAAAACGGCAATCGCAGTTAATAAACAAATGACAACGATTACATGTGCATCGCACCCCTGAGCATGTCTAACTCAATCCTGCGTTAATTCAACCTGGCTAGCGAAATCACACAGCCAGGGGTCTCAAAATGGGGGCTGAAGGGAGTCAGGATTGTTTGTGGTTGCAATGCGCCAAAAGTCCCGGCAGGAGCTCGATGACACTGTAACTTTGCGAACAAAACGAAGCATCTCGACACCGGTACCGAGTCTTGCCTTCCTTTCGAGGCGAGCATACACACACGTTCCGGACAAACGAAATCCACGCAATAAGAGCGCATCTACCCCTGATGAAAATGCAAAAGGATCGCCTCCTGCTGCCTAGGAGCAGCCGGCCCAGGCAAACTAGCACGCCTTGTCCCCCTTGCTCATTTGACCCAGCACCGCCGTTCTCCCCTGGACACCCCGAGGTTCCTTAGCCAAGAAACCACCGTGACGCCTTACCCCGGGTGGCAGCTGCAGAAAATAGGCTGCTGGCGTCACAGGCCACGTTCCTGAGCTATACCAATGCTCGAGATAGGGGAGTTACGATGGTGGAACAAACCATTTCCGATTCGGCTTTGTTTAAGTGCTTTTAAATCGTATATTCTACAAAATCTATTCAGACGATTTTTAAAAACTTTTAAAACGATTTATTCTAATACTAGTTTTGGTATAAAAAAAGTAGGGACAGAAATGAATAGATGTATTGAAATCTCCCCGCTTCTACAGCAGAGCCGCAGACCAAATAAGATTTTTTTTAAAAAAGTTCTTATTCTGTGTTATATGAATGTGTTTTATCTCCATCCACCTCTCCTTCTTCCTCCCCGTCCTTCTCCTCCCAGGAAGGAAGGAATCAGGACTTTCTCATTAGCAAAGTTCCTTGCTCCCAATACAAGCTTTTACCTCATTCTGTATTGTTGTTGAAGCGGAACTGGCCAAGCGTGGTGTCACTCCCACAAAGGCTTGTTTATACTTTACAAAAATGATCTCAACAAGCCTTAGGATGTTTGTAAAGCAGCTGGATTGTATTGTGGGTTACTTTGTTTATGCTGAAGAATAACTTCACAGACGTACATTCGGATTGCAACATAAATTTTACTAATAATTTAATCAGATGCATTTCCTGTTGTTAGTTACTGTTTACATTGCAATATCTATCTACACAGTAATGTATGGAATATCTTAGGAGCAAACCTTTGCTACCGAAATGTATAAAATTAGAAAAATAATATAGAAAAGGAATATGAGGTTATTAAAAGTTGTTTTGCTTTGGGTTTGTTTGTTTGTTTGTTTTTGTTTTGGTGAGGAAGCCATTTGAAATCAAGGTTGGCTTTCCCTACATGCCAGGATTTCACAATGATGATCAGTTCTAATTAGAATTTCCATACAGGAATTTATTCTGTGCTGGTTTATTTGACATAGTTTGGACACTTTGGAAAATTTCATAAGCCAATGCTGCAATTTATTATAATTTAGAAATGCAGATTTTAATGTTTTGGTCATAACAAGACAGAAGAATAGAGTGGGATTCATTAAGGCAAGATCCATAATAATCCTGTTCCACCTCAGTAGCTCTTCAACTTTACAGTTTCATTTACTCATTTATTTTCATCTAGTGTATTTGCACATGTGCATTTTAATTTCAAATAAATTTACTATAGGAGAATACAGATGTTTTTTATACATGGCTGGAAGTTTTACTCAACTCCATAGCTTTCCGAATGTGTTAAACTTTATTTGAATCTTTGGGGAACTATGGCTTGAAAGTAGAACATAGCATTGTCTGGCAAGGGAAATGACAAACTTTTATATCATAATGATCCAATGGAACCACCAATGCTCCATTGCAAACACATCAAAGAATGCCCAATTTTGGCCCTGACACCAATGGAACACCACTGGCGGGCTAGGTGGATCAAAAGAACTTTCAGTGATCATACAGGTATTTCTCCATGAACTATACTATACATGATTAGGACTTCAATATGCCAATGGTAGAAGGTTTCCACAATATCATCCATCTCATGGCAATCAACAGCTGGTCTGTAGATTGCAACTTAAAACTGACAGTTGCTTCAGTTGGCTTATTTAATAGATATTGTAAAAACATTAATTGGAGCCTTATTTTTAATTTGCGTTAAAACAAAATGAAAGTTTCCTTCCTGAATCCATCAAACATACAGCTTTGTATATAACTTCCCAATTTAAAAGTTAGTAATATACTTTTAAGCCAATGTAATAGTCACAATACTAGATGTAGAGATTCCAATTATCATAAAACTTAATTGTATAGGAGATGCAAAGAAGTATTGGACTATTGAGAAACTTAAAAAGAAACACACGTATAAAGGTGTAAAGCACATAATTAAAAAACCCACGGAATAGCACCACCTTGCACTAACGTCATAACACAACCGTAAGATAAGAAAATTATAGGTTTTATTATGCCTTCAACTTTAACATAATTTCATGTTTAGATATTTCTCCCTTCCTTCATGTTCTTTAAATAATGTTAGCTGTTTGGTATCATTGTACTTAGTCAGTTCTTGATTTCTGTCATTGGCCAGTAGATGTAAAATTCAATTAACAAGTGATAGCATCCTTGCTATTTGTTACTTGCACAGCCAAATATTGAGATCTCTTATTCCTAGAACTTGATTGGAAATCCATGACTAGAAAGAAGCTTCGGAATTATTCTTATTAATATTCTATGTATCCCATGTAAAATTGGAAATTAGTACTATATCTTGACCAGAGTCATCTAAGCAGGCCACCAAAGAACATGATGAACACCATCAAAGCTGACACCAGCCAGAACATCGAAAAATCAAAAGAAACAGCGCAAGATTGGAAGATGTGGAGAGACTTGGCCCATAGAATTACCACGACTTAATGGATAACATCATCGTACGAATCCATGGAGAGCTGTTCTTCATAAAAGAAGTCTGTGACACCTGAATGATCTTCACCACTGTCATAAAATCAATATATTTAGTCATTAAATCATCTGTTACAAAGGTGATATTAAATGTAAATACATGCTAAAATGACGTGTAGAAATATTTCTTTTCCCAAGCATGACACAGAATTTTTTTAAAGAAACCATTGCAATGGTCAGGGATTACTGGGTGTAGGCTTATTTTCCTGGAAAATAAATGAAGGTAGACTGGCCTTGCCTAATCTAATGATGTTTGCCACATCAAGTACTTCCTGTTATTGTCTACCTTTACTTAAGAGCAGGATCAAGGCCATCATTTATTCCATCCAGCAAAGATATAGCTTAATGATTTTAAATTTAGTGAGAATATGTAACTCTTTCTAACTCTATGGTTTTGTTCTTCTTATGGGTTGTATGGAATCAGTCTTGCAAATAAAAGAAGATATGTATGCAACTAATTTTGTTCAATTATAATTATTTTTGTTGCAAATATTTATTTTAAACCAACCTGGAAGGGTTTTTTTTCAGAATGATTAAGTTGTTTAAAATACATAAATAAAATGGAATGTAGTTGCTACAAGCATTCTACAGTACAGGTAGCTTTCGACTTACGAACACAATTGAGCCCCAAATTTCTGTTGTTAAACAAGACATTTGTTAAGTGAGTTTTGCCTCACTTTATGACCTTTCTTGCCACAGTTGTTAAGTGAATCATTGTAGTTGATAAGTGAATCTAGCTACCCCATTGACTTTGCTTGTCAGGTCACAAGGTGGATACATGACCCTGAGGCACTGCAATGGTCATAAATACGAATCAGTTGCCAAGGATCTGAATTTTGATCACATGATCATGGGGATGCTGCAAAGGTCAAAATGCTGGAAAATGGTCATAAGTCACTTTTTTCAGTGCCACTGTAATTTTGAATGGTCACTAAACAAACTGTAAGTTGTAGACTACCTGCATTTGCAATCGTGTGCGTTAGACTATACATAATTGTATGATTAAATTGATACATATTTACAAATGAAAAATATCCCTGAAAAATACCTTTTTACTATCTATAATTTGTGTAGTTTATGTAAAATATTTGTACCAGGTTTGTGGAAAGCAGTACCGAAAATATGAAAACATTCTCTCATAGAGACTTTGTGGTTATATAGCAATGCTACTCATGTGATAAGGAGCAAAAATGGGGAAATTTACCAGAAAGGTCTACCAGTGTCTGCTAACATAACTCCATACAAGTAAGAATCTCAGCAGGCAGATAATTACTAAGTGTGCTGCAGTGGTTTGGAATACATCTACTTCGTCAGTGAATGAAATGCTCTTCTTCTCATCTTTGTCTCTCACTTTTTGTTTGTTTAGGAAGAATCTGGCTTTCTAAGCCTGAAGCTTAGAAGCTTTATCATAAAAATACAGATCAAATAATCCTTGGAATGGTACATTCAGTAGCCTATTAGTATACATACTACTAAGCACCATTTTTGTTAAATGTAAGTGTAACATGTGTTTTCAATGTAGTCACCCAGGTGGTTCTTTATGGGCAAGGCAGTTCCTGGACCAAAGGGTCAAATACTTGTGAAGCATAGACTTTGAAGGTTTCATCATCATAAAAGAGAGAAAAAGAGCATATTTTTAAAGAGAATGTAAATTATGACACGAAGACCCAACAAAAAGAATATTAGGTTGCATGCCACAGTGTTACTATATTATAATATGCTTGGTGTAGTAGTTAAGGTGCTGACATAGAATCCAGGAGACTGAATTCTAGTCCCTCCTCAGGCTGGCTGGATGATTTTGGGCCAGTGGCATGCACTCAGCTCAACTCAACTCACAAGGTCGCTGTTGTGGGGAAAAGAGTATTATGAGGGTCCACTGCCTTGAATTACTGGTATTTATAAAGTATTAAAGGTGGGATAAAAGTAAATGATAACTTTTGCAGATACAATATTAGGACTATTTTATATTTATTCTGATATTTTTCCTTTTTCCATAAGGTTATCATGAGCTAAGATAAGATCACAAAAGAAGAATACAGTTAAGGTTGTGGCTGATGAACAAAATATTTGGTTATTGTTTGTTTAAATAAACAAAGAATTTAAAAATAGAAGGCTATGCATCAACTGTGAGAAAGATGAAGGAACTCTACTCAGCTAAGCATTCTGACTAACAGAGGGTTGAGAGACATTCCCCTCTCTCCTCACCTATCATCATTGCTGTAGATTCTTCAAGTTTGAGATGGCAACCTCTATGGAAAAAGCAGAGTAGAGCAAGAGCCAACACTGCCCTGAAGAGATGTTGTCCACTTTGCTGAGCAGTTTAGATTGAGCAAAATAATAAATAAAGGGCTTGAAACTTAGATTGGTTCTTAGCAAAAAAGTATCAACTTTTTACCTTATGTAATAGGAGAATGGTGATAGGAAAAAGAGACATATTTACTTATGGCAGAATGGTGATGGGAGAAGGAAGCATAGGTTTCAAATTTCAAACTTCAGGTTTTATCTATCTATCTTGAATAGTAACCATTTGCAGTTCCTGATGTTCTTTGCACTAGAAGGCCTTTATACTACCTGAAATAAAAGCTATCTGATTAAAAATTATATTCCTGAATCCCTGCCAGCTAGCCTTCTAGTTTGAGTCTGGGGGAAGCCCGATGCTTTCCTGTTCCCTTTTCCTTATGAGGAGAAAATGTTCAATGTAAACAAAGCAAAACATCAGCTGGAAGGAAAGCCCTCATGCTTTTTCCAATTCCAGATGTTGGGTGGCTCATAATTATTACTGGTTTACCTGCCATTCACCTTATGTAACAGAAGGAAAGTACTTGAAGCCATTCTCTGGTTGTCTATGTCCTCACACACGGAAAATTGAGTGAGAGTGGAAAGAGAGACAGCAATATACTCTGGAATCATTTGCCCTTCAGATTGGATATGGGTCGCATGCAATCTATTGGATAAATCCAGTTAGCAGTATATGCCGCAACCTTAAAAATGCTGCCATATCTATATAAAAATGGGATGCATAAACAATATTTATCACAGCTGAACCAAATACTCTATTCTTAAGCGGCTTCAGAAAAAAGAAACATGAATGCAGAGAAGAAACAATGTTAATCTGTTGTAGGAGTATCCAGGGTACATAACTTAATTTTAATAATCTATACATTTTTAACTGAAAAACAGAAGCATTTCTGTGCAATGTTCAATAATTAAAATGTATCATTCCAACCCGATAAGTGTGCATTATAGAAAATCACATAACTATCTTTATTTTGTATTTAAATTTTTAAATATAATTTCTGTGCACAGGATAATATTATAAACTGAAAATTATACAGTATAAAGCCAAATCTATTGATAAATTCAACCTTGTGCAGAAAAAAAAAATGCTCAGACATTAATCTGAGATGATAGTCAAGGAATGATATATGCAGTATCTATCTGAAATCTACTATTCTAAGACTTGTTCAGTTTTTTAAATCTTATTTAAAGTATCTTCCTTAATAGCTTCCTAGTACTATTATCTGTTTTCCTCCAAACATCAAAAACATTATGCAATTGAAACATTCAAAAGGAAAATTAACACGGGAGTTATTTATTGTCCATTTTAAATGGCATCACTGAGGTTAATTCTAAAACGTCCTTCTTGATTTTATTCTAACAGTAAAGAATCCGCTGTTCATTCGCTATTCTTATCAATAAATTCAGAGCTCAATCATACAAATGTTAAGGTGGTTTCATTTTATTCTTCCCTTTTTCTTAGTCTAAATATAGTTAAATTAATCTCTACCATTAGGGAGCATGAGGCAACTGCCATAGGCAGTTGATGTTGTAGTTCACAGTACCTCCTTCCTAGTCATTTCCCCTGAACTTCTTACGTATTCTGTTGACTGGAAAACAAAGTTGATTAGGCTACATTACCTGTCTTACATCCTTTAAACTAGGGGTGGATTATGGGCTGCATCTGACTTAAAATAATATCCTATATGGTTCAAAAATCTTTTCCACACAGAATGGGGAAATGCTTGTGTTTTTTAACTCCCTAGGGTTACTACAAATTCAGATCTAACATTGGTATCTTCATTATTTAGATTGAGATTATGGATTTGTGCACAATGTTAGGCAATAGTATGGTATTTGTTAGCTTCTCCATAAGAATCAAGTCCATTGTTATACGGTATTAAATCACGTTTCATAGTTATGAGACATTTCTTGTATTGTCCCTATGTATGTTCACGTACAAACCCCTCCGTGTCCAATGGAATTTCCAAGTCTGATACTTTAAAATGTAACAGACGCACTCTTGTTATTGCATTATTTGTTTTTAATCGGTGAATATCGTCTTTAAGGTCTCATGTGCCAACTGCGGGGCAGTTAACGTGATAGTCTGCAAACACACACACACAGAGTATCATTTGCAATGGGCCATTTCATAACGTTATTATGTAATGATCAACTATAGCCAGGAAGATGCACGTTAACGCGCTCGCAACCTTGCAGGTGGGCACACGCAGAGTCCAGGCATCCCAATCCAGAAAGAAGCGCGGGAAAGTGGGGGGAAAAGAAAGGGGACGTTTTGGGAAGCGCCAAGGAGATACACTGGTTCCCGGTGCGTACTATACACGGATCTTCGCCGGATTCGTCTGAGTGCCCTAAAACCAACGCGTTTCATAGAAGCCTCCACGCTTCACCCCATGTTTTGTTTTGTTTTGTTTGCTCTGGGGACAGAGGGGTGGGTCAAAAGAGCCACTCAGCCCCCCCCCCCCAATTCTTTGTCCTCGCTTTTTTTTGGCGAGCACTCCCTTTGCCTCCTTCGTCCCACCCTCGCTCCCGCCTCTTTCTTTCGGGGGGCGTCTTGCATAACGCCGTGGCGACGTCGGAACCCGGCGGGGCCCACCGCCTCTCGCCCACCAGACAAAACACATTTGAGAAACGTGAGGCGGCGGCGATCACGTGGAGCCGTCGGCCAATGAGGGGAAGAGGGTGGGGCTCGGTTTCGCGTCATTCAGCAGAGCTGCATAGAGTCACAGGGCGAGCGGCGAGGAGAGGAGGTAGGGCGTTCGGCTGGTGCGGCGAGGCAAGACTGCGCTTTGGCGAGGGAAAAAGCGAGGCGGAAGAAGAAGCCCGGCGACCGAGCCGCTCCCTCTCTCTTTGCCGGCGCGTTTACGGAACGCTGTGGGGCTCCTTCCCCTGCTGTGAGTGGGCGTGCGAGGCTGAGGAAAAAGGGGGTGATGCGTTTCCAGCTGGCGGCCATCTCCACCAAAGCCGCTGCTTCCACCGCCGCAGCCGCTGCCTCCACCGGGGCTTAAGAGAGACGCGCTCGAGCGGAATCTTCCGCCCTCGCCTTCTTAAGTAGCGGGATCTATCCCGACATGAGCCGCGAAGCCAACTTCGCTCGTTCCTGAACAGCCGGCGACGCTCTTCCACCTGACCAGCAGACCCCACCGCTTGCCACACCGCCCACCAACCCACCCCCCGGCGAATCCGCCCGGCTGTCGGAAATGGGGGTGAACTCGGTGCACTGGTTCCGCAAGGGGCTTCGACTCCACGACAACCCAGCGCTGAGGGAAGTCATCGAGGGGGCCGATACGGTGCGCTGCGTCTACATCCTGGACCCTTGGTTCGCGGGATCCTCCAACGTGGGAATCAACCGGTGGAGGTGAGTGGGCATGAGGCGGAGGTGGCGGCGGCTCCTTGGATGGAGCTGATCGCTTCTCAAACCCCCCCCCCAAAATTGGGAGTCGTTGCGCATGCGCACTGGCGCCTGATTATACAACCCCGGGTTTCCTTAGGCATCATTTCTGACGTCTCAACGTTCGAGAGGGAAGGGAAAGTGGGGGGGAGTGTTGACACTCCCGCCTGTTTTTGGTGAAATGGGCTCGATAAGTGGCGCTTATTTTCTTCTGAATTCAGCCCTCGTTTCTTAAAGCAGGCCTAAAAGGTTACATAAACTGCAAAAGGGTGCGCTGCCTTTTTTCTTCCGGCATGGGGGAAAAGGCTTGGAAGGTTAATACCAAATCATGGCATTAGGTAGGTTGGGTTGGAGATGTTTTGCCTGAATCAAATGGCTCTCTTCTTTCTAGCAGATCCAAAATGGATGTTTATAATCACGTTTCTTGAGACAGTAGAGCAGGGTAACCTCTGCCAAGGCTCATGAGATGAAAATTGTATAAGAGATTATTTTTGTGTGTGTGTGTCTTGATTTTCACATTATTTTCCTTGCACTGTACAAGTCACTCCGTTTTGTTGCTTGGTTGTATATATTGGTCACACTGCTATCCCTACTTTTGCTTCCAGTGTCCTGTAATTTTCCTAATTGGATCTTTTCCAGTCTCTTCCCAATGCTGTCAGTAAAGAATGACATTTGCAATCCCTCCTGTTGCTATGCACACACTTGCATTTCAATTGGATGTTTCATAACCAGTATTGAGTTTGTAGAATTTGTGAAAGAACTGCCCAAAATTCTCGAGTTAGAGTAGAACATTGGGGGTACCTGTTTGAATATAGTGCTTAACAGGAACTGTATTGAATAGAAATATAAGCTTTTTGTGAGCTGCATCAAAATTAGATCAAGTGAAAGCTTCAGAAGCGCATTCCTTATCACCACAGTTCATGCCTTTCAACATCATTTGTTAGTTGGAAAAGATGTTGCTAAACTCCTTATTTTTAGCTATTTGGTTCTGTTTCTTACTTTTTAAAAAGCTGTAAAATTAGAAATATATGATGTGTTGTGGATTTAATTTAGCATGGTGAGTGTAAACTTTACTCCCTTAGGGAATATGAAAAGCAGATATTCCACCATAGCAAAAGTGTAGAATGCGGCTATTGTTGAGCGGTAGAGCATCTACTTTGCATGTAGAAGTTTAATCCTTGCCAGTCTAAGGAAAGTGTTATTTTAGTAAGCCATTCTCAGTCAGCAATAGACAATTTTGCCAAACAAGGCAAGACATCTTTTGAGGTGTAACTGATGTGGGTATAATTGGTACAGTTTCAGTAGAATATTTTAACATTCTAAAGCAAGGATCAAGGCATAAAATCATTTTCAAATATTTAAGGGCTCAGTGTTTTTAGGATACCATATTTTTTAAAGTCTGAAAACAATTTTCTGTTTATCTTTGTTTTGACCTAACAGGGTTATAGGACTGTTTTATAATGGCAACAGCAGTAGTAGCCAGTAGGCAAGAAAAATGAAAAACAAGGCTATTCTCAGCAGCTGATTCATTGTTGATTTAGCCTTATATGCAGATAGTGTTCCTGATGTATAAGATAAAATAAGCTGTGGATGATATTGCCTGGGTTTGTTGGACCTCTCATTGGGGAGATCAAGAGAAAGAGATTGAACATGTATCAATGTTGCTTTCGTAGGTCATTCAATAGTCATTCACAGGTTAGCAAGATTTGTATCTTACTTTTCCCTCTGCACACTCCCATAGGCTGTTAAAAGTATGCTAGAGAAAGAAGTAGAGGAAATGCTTAGAATGTATACAAAAATTCTGGGCATGATGAAGTGAGGTTTAATGGAAATATTAGTTTGTGAAGTAGTAAGATGTGTGCAAAATTCATATTAAACTTATGAATGAGTTTCATTACAACTGACCTACTGACATGCTGTGCATAATTGTTAGCCTGCTGTGACATATAGCAATCATTGACCTCTTTTCTCTTCATTATTTTCCTGTAGCATAGTCAGTGGTATTTATATTGTGAAAACTTAATACAGTATTCAGAAGTTTTACTATGTAACTCATTTTTTTCTGAATGCGGCCTATTTCTTTATTAAAAAATTAAGAAAAATAAATTTGCAACAAGTTTCCTTCTTGAAATCTATGTTCTGTTAAAGTTTCTGTGACTCTTGTGTAAAATATCTTTGATTTATTAAATATTGTATAAACCATTGTTCTATTTTGGTGTAAAAATAAAGAGTTCCTTGGGTACAATAAAATATCCATTAAGTATTTTAAGTATTAAAGCAGAAGTCATCAGTCCCATATATTTCAGAATTTGAAGAAATGGTTGCCATGTGGGTCTGGCTAGTCACAAAAACAAGCAAGTTGCCCATGAAATTAAGTACAAAGTAGAAATTTGTTATAAGTAAAACTACAATAGTTATTTTCTGCAACCAAAATAGTAATTTTTCAAAAGTAAGACTAATTATATTTTAGGAGTTTGTGTCCCATTTTAAAATGGTGAGAAGAATTATTGTTTTTAAGTGATCTTGGGATAGATGTGTGAGGCTCTGAAACTGCAAGTTGAATGATTCACCCTGAGAATATAAGTGGGAAATTGTTATCAGTTTTCACAATAATGATAGAATCCTCCAGGGACATAAAATTGCATTCAACACTGTGGGTGGGTTTTGACCTCAGTTTTCCTAGAAGTGATAAATACATTTTTATCTGATTTTAATCTCCATATGTGAAATTGTGCTCTTTTTTCCTAAGGTTTATTGCATATTCATATACATCTGGTGTACAATTAGGAAAAGCCTCACTACTAACAATTAATTGAGGATTATTCCTGTGAAATGTTAAATGTCTAATAAAAAAGCTTTTTCGTCAATACTCAATGGCTTTAGAAGGGTAAAATGAAATCAAGGTGAGGAACTCTTATGGAGAAATACACTCATGGATATCTTATTTATACTTGATTTCAAGGGAACCCAACTCTAAAAGAACTTGGGTAACTTACTGTTTTAATAAGTTTTAATAATGTAAACGAAGACAAACTCATACAAAAAAAAAATAAGATCACAATGAGCTCTAAAACTAATGCCAAGGACAGCAAGGAGCTAGATCTTCATAAATTTAGGGAACAGTTTTTCCTAGTGTGTCATGTTATTGGCATGGAACAAATCAATATTTGAATGTGTTGAGGGTTAGAAGAAGTTAATTGATAGAAATAGTAATGCATCCTGCTTAGGCACAAAAAAAATCAAGAAGATATTCAGGTGCACACTTCTTCTGGCTCTTAATTTGGTTGCATATATCTGTGTCCTAAAGCAGGGTCCCCAAACCCCAGCTGCGGCCCACTACTGGCCTCTGCTTTTTGGAACCAGGCCACAGAAGTGATGGGCAAGCACATGCCATCTCCTGTCCCCCGCCAGTCCGCAAAGCCAAAAAGTTTGGGGAACTCTGTCCCAAAGTATGTCATCAATTATATATCTCTTGTCATATAGCAATTGTCTGTGCATAGTAAGTACATATAAGTGACCTTTTGTTCTGGAAAGCTACGCTAAAAGAAAACCAGTGAAGGTACTTTCTTTCACATAGATTCCAGATATATAGACCTCAAGTTCCAAAATTCCACAGCCAGCATAGCCGTTGATTAGAATTTTGAGTTGAAGTCTACATAACTGGAAGTTGCCAAGGTTGAGAAACAATGTATTAGACAAAAATAAGGAGCTCAAAATTTCTTACATGACTCAGATTTTCAATTTAAAAGCAATTTTATACTGTATTAAGCTGATTAGCAAACAAGTTACTACTACTGAAATAAAAAATATTTATAGTATGCACCCATATCTACTATATTATTATCATGGTAAAAATACCAAAATAAATCGAAGGCAAAAAATAAAACTAAAGGAAGGAAAATATAAAGAAAAAATTAACTAGCAGCATTCATTATAGTTGACGTAACTTAGTGATAACCACCCTTGGTACATTGTCCATATAGCAAATCTTTTGAAGATTTTTAACAGTTGAAGTCTTTCTTTGACATTGTTATATTAATAGGTTTATAAAGTAGTTTTGATAAAATAATAAAATGTTTTCTTACTTAAGGTAAGAAAATAGTTTCTGTAAGATAAAACTGTACAATTGAAGAGAGGTCTCACGTAGCATTGTTTTATGTAGTTAATCTGAATGTTTAAGATGAGCAGAAATTGTATAACAAGTGACATGAATCATGTATGCAACATAAACTCTGAGAACTAAGACTATAAAGTAGTGAATAAAAACCTACATTACAGAAAATTAACATCTTATCATAATCTATTAAAATAATGTACATTTCAGCACTGTGATTCAGAAATAAAAGCTATATTCCTTGCAACTAACAAATCGATATACTCATTATATTCAGTAAGAGATTAGATAATCTAGTTCAGCAATCTCCAAATTAGTATCCATCTGCTTTATTGGACTTTGATTTTATAATTTCCCAACCAGCAGTGAAATATGGCAAATTTGGTGATGGAAGCCCAATCTATTTGGAGGGGGAATCAAGATGGCAAAGGCTGACATAATTTATCCATGTCATTGTTGCCTTTGCATTAAATAAGTAGGATGAAAAAGGAGTGTAAAGTATTTCATATACTTCTGGTCAGCTTTCCAAGAAAGTGCATTAGGGTATTCGTTTTCACAATGTCAAAAATGAAAATTTTACCTTGAGGAGCATGAACAGGAAGGAGCTTATGGACAGTCGCTTCCTGATGGACTTTGTCACTAAAAGTTGTTTTTGAAGGCAGAAGATATAACATTCAGGAAGGGTTGAGAAAGTCATCTGCCATTAGCCTCTTTTTCTCTCAGTTCTCTACTTTCTAAAGTCGGGATACAAATGCATACATCTTAATGTTAATGAAAACCTATATGTAGAATGGTTTGCTTAATTGTTGCTGGTTCTGTTACTAAATTAAATGTTTCCCTCAATATAGGTCTC